TGGGGGGGGGGGGGGGGGACAATTGCATCGCAATGAGCTTATCACCTCTTTGCCAAAGAGGCAAATATTGGAGATGCCACAAGAAGTCCAACCATGAAAGCAGAGGATATAACACCATCTTCAAAATTGTTCAAGTCAAAATCACCCCTGCATACAAATAGAAATTGAAGATATGGGCAAATAACATACTTGCAAAAAATGACTAATGATGTTAATANGGGTGATTCCTGCAACATCAAATTCAGTGTTTGTCGAAGATTTAAAAAGATTAGAAACATCTGAAAAAAGTGTTACTCTATGGAATTGTATTATAATGGCTACGTTCGGAATACTAGAATTTTTAAAGACCGGTGTCAATGTGCAGAAGGATGTGGAACCGTATTCATTTCTTGGCATCTTTTTGGGCTTCAGTTTCAAAGGAGTTNTATATGTGGATCAAAACAATTAATGAAGCCAATTTGTACTCAATCCAAAGATGAGGAATGGCGGAGGATAAGTTAGATAACAGCCTGTAATAGTAATCTCACAAACAACTAGTTGCAAACTAAATTAGAATGTGGAGAACATAAATGCATGGGTAGTAAGAGCTGGTATGTGTATTTTATACAAACGGAAACATAATTGCACCACTTCAACCTCGATCACTCAGCATCTGCAGTAATGGAAAACTATTCCATGTTGTATCGCAAATAACATAGCAGCCAACAATGGACTACAAAATGAGTTCACCCCTCCCCCCGGGCACAACAAAAACAAGAAAATAATGAACTGATTAAAGCTAGATTCAGTCCAAAATCTTTGGTCCATTTACCAAAAGTTTTTTTTTTTTTTTGCATTCCTTAGAATCAGGTTCCAATAGTCAGCCGACACATTTATGCGTTAAATTTGTTTTCTTATTAGAAACAAAGGCAAATAGTAGAAAAATAAGACAACTACTATTCAAGCACAATAACATAGAAGCAAGAACAATGTTCTAAGTCACAACAAACAAGAATAATGTCGTAAGATTAGACAAAAGGCTTGAAGTAAGAAGGCATTACTGAATTCCACTGCCGGATGAGCATGTACCACTTTTTGTGCAAGTTCTGCGACTCCCATTTACTCCATTACTTGCTATAGCCCCTCGATCCAAATAATTTAACAGATTTATCACACAGAATATAACAAGTAACCTGCAAATACATCAAAGATAAATTTTTCACACCTACATAAACTCGGGCTTGGACCAAGTAAAATAATAAATGATATGCAACAGGCAAGTGGCAGTACCACTCCAACTACTATTAGTTATTGACGAAACTGTACTATCATCCGCTCAATCAGAATATACACTAACCACAAAAAATAGTATAATGGGCACCAATTAAATGCCAAATCTTCCTGCTTTCAACTTTACAATTGTAAAATTTCCGGCCCCAATATATAAATCACATCTTAATACATTTAATCAATAACACGTTGAACAGTAAAACCCTAACAATTCTCTTTCCTCCATTCCCTCCAAAAAATCCTTTCAATTCACAAAACCCAAGTAGAATCAACTCCAACCAAACTAAATGATGTACATTTTTCCGAACATTAATTTCTCACCAACTCTTTTTCTGACAATACTAAAGTATTTTGCTTTTTTTCTTTCCTACTTACCCCCAAAAAAAAAAGTCTTCATCTTTTTCGATGATCCTATCAGCTAGAACAACAAAAACCCAAAATCCCCAAAAACACAAATCATCAATTTTTTTCCATTTTCAATCGTCTCAAGAATCATTCAATTAAAGCAATTAATGAACAGAGCAATAAAGAAAGTACCTTTTAGGGGTGAACCAAGAAGGGTTCGGAGCCAATAATGAAATCGAAGACCTGGCCATTTCTGTCTCCAGCGAAACTACCGTGGAAGATGCGTTTGGGTTTGTTTGCTCCGCTGGCTTTGGCTCTNCAGCAGCAATGCAGTATAAAAAACTACCTCCAAAAATTTTCCTCAGTTTTTGAGAGTTTGTGCAAAAAATTGGCAACTTTCACCTTCAATATTCAACATAAAAGTTAGTTCTATTAATGATAAGAGTCTTAATTTATAATACAACACATTTACCTACCACAATGATTTGTTTGATGCTTGAATTTTCGGTCTAATCCTTTAATAAATGTAACACAAATTTATGAGAGAAACCTCAAATGCTTATACTTCTACAAGAAATAACTGAGTAAACAATAAGAATCTCGATAACNCAATGAACAGAGCAATAAAGAAAGTACCTTTTAGGGGTGAACCAAGAAGGGTTCGGAGCCAATAATGAAATAGAAGACCTGGCCATTTCTGTCTCCAGCGAAACTACCGTGGAAGATGCGTTTGGGTTTGTTTGCTCCGCTGGCTTTGGCTCTTCCTCACCTCCCATGAAAACGATATACACAGAGTATAGTTTTAGAATAAATAACAAGGAAATTGACTTTTTTGACTGGTAGTTTATGCCTTGTTTGTGGGTTCTTTGAATAAATAGATTGCTTTTCTTGGTTTGACTTTAACTAGGAAACTAAAAGAGGTTTTTGGGTTGGTTAAGAATTACGGTCGATGAGAATGATGTGTGGAATTTATACCTTGTTTCATTGCAAGACTCTACCAAGTGTATGCTGATTCTTCTCTATCTTTACTAGCCCTATCAACCGTGTCCAATGAAATAAATTTGTATTAAATTTGAATGAATTCGTGTCGAGAAAATATTTTATTCATATTTAATTTATTTATTAATTTATAATTTGTGTCTAATCAATCATATCATATCAGATTCGTATCTTATATAAAACCTGTATAATTTGTGTATGAACGAGTCATGTCATATATATATATTTTTTATTTGTTTTATCAATATTCGATTTATTTATATATCGGATCAGAATCGGGTCTGCTCGGTTATGAAATTGGTGGCCAAAGGAATATCCGAGCCATTTAATTTCATATCGTGTTAATGAGATTGTGTCATATTTTAANATTTTTTATTTGTTTTATCAATATTCGATTTATTTATATATCGGATCAGAATCAGGTCTGCTCGGTTATGAAATTGGTGGCCAAAGGAATATCCGAGCCATTTAATTTCATATCGTGTTAATGAGATTGTGTCATATTTTAACACCCTTAATTTTTACTTAGCAAGTGTTCGAATCTAATTATGATATCGAAATCTTTAAAATAATATATATTTTTTTACTCATTAATCTAAGACACACAAAAAAAAATTATATTATGCTATTCTACTTTATTTTGTTACTCATTAATATAAGACATGCCTACAATTTTTATATTATTTTATTCTACTTTATTATGTTAATTTGACGATTAACTACTTCAAAAAAAATTAAGATAAAATCTAGTGTTCGGTCACTAAGCTCAATGGATTAATCGGCGCAAGGCTAGACACACATAACAAAAAAATAAATAAATAAAANCGATTAGCTACTTCAAAAAAAAATTAAGATAAAATCTAGTGTTCGGTCACTAAGCTCAATGGATTAATCGGCGCAAGGCTAGACACACATAACTAAAAAATAAATAAATAAAATTAAAGATAACATCCATGACTAAAATCGATTTTTTGGTATTGTGTGGTAACTAATATTCAATGCAACCATGCAATACATCATCATCTACGATAAATTATTATAATTAAATAACTATCATTTTTATATAATATGGTATTCATAATGTTAAATGAGATAGTTGTATATGATACCTATCACGTGTATGTAATATGAGATATATGCGTTATAAATTGTGAAGTCTTTATTGAGTTGATTTAGAATTGTATTAAATTGCGAAGCCAAGCAATAATATCGAGGTGGTATTACTCCAACGTTTTGTTTTGTCAACAAATTAATGATAACTCGTGTCTAAAGACAATGTTCAATTTAAAAAAATCGAACATTANTAAAGTAGTATTTGCCAAATATTCCAAGCAGCCAAAACTTTTCTAATGTACACATTAGGTATGCACTTTTTAGTATAAAATACATTCCAAAGCAAAATATATTTCAAAGGAAACTTATTGTAAAACCCGGAAAAATTTAAACTTTTTATGAAAAAGGGTAAAACGATAATTTATCACTACAGTGCGAGTTGCAAACCTGAATTTTTCTAGAGCTCGGACGACGAAACAAACTTCACCGTTGGAATCGTCTCGCGAAATCTAGTCATCCTATCAAATTTCGTCGAATTCCGAGATAGTCGGATTTTTCAAGTTTTTCGAGGCGACAGGTGTTCGGTGACTCTCAAAAACGAATTTTTATTAAAATTTTGAAATTTAAAAAATAATTTAAATAAAGTTCATATAAAAATAATTGAGCTTAAATCAGAGCGAAATTTAATTGTTTTGGAATGAAAACGGACCCGAGAAAAGGGGGCGTGTGGCACGATGTGGGCCAAGCTTTGAAAATTATAAATAGGAGAAAATATTTGATTTTCCCCACTTATTCAGTTGGGTTCTCTATTGGTTTCAGACGTTGGAGAGAAAGAGAGAAAAAAAGAGAAAAATTCAACTTTGTCTCTATGATTCAAGGAGTTCCGTCGGTCAAAATTCTTCGGGTCAATAATCANAAATTGTAATCAAACTTATATGGACTATTTTTAATGTAACCTTACATGTTATTATATGAGTATGGATAAATGGACCCGGTGTGGTCAATGTTGAATATTGGACCTCGGATAAGTCTTGTAATTGTATGATGTATATGTTGTATTTTTGGGTAGAGCTCCATGTACAAAGAAAACTCTGTCCAAATTTTATTAAATTATAAATTCCGGTAAATGGGACACAACGGTATGATATCGAGTTAGACGCTATCCACAGGTATTCCGCGAATTGATGGGTGATTAACGAACCCCCGAATTTTGGGGTGTCACACTTGTTCTATAATACTCAGCCCACCTTAGGTCTAAAAAAATGATAGTGAAGATTCATGATATGAATCTTGTCTTGACTCTCCTTATGCAACAAACTAAAAAAAAAATACTCTATTGCCACTAATTCAATTAACAAAAAAAACCACCACACTAAATACAAATGCAAACCAATGGATCGCATCAAATCGAACCAAGGGTAATTNACTACTTCAAAAAAAATTAAGATAAAATCTAGTGTTCGGTCACTAAGCTCAATGGATTAATCGGCGCAAGGCTAGACACACATAACAAAAAAATAAATAAATAAATAAAATTAAAGATAACATCCATGACTAAAATCGATTTTTTGGTATTGTGTGGTAACTAATATTCAATGCAACCATGCAATACATCATCATCTACGATAAATTATTATAATTAAATAACTATCATTTTTATATAATATGGTATTCATAATGTTAAATGAGATAGTTGTATATGATACCTATCACGTGTATGTAATATGAGATATATGCGTTATAAATTGTGAAGTCTTTATTGAGTTGATTTAGAATTGTATTAAATTGCGAAGCCAAGCAATAATATCGAGGTGGTATTACTCCAACGTTTTGTTTTGTCAACAAATTAATGATAACTCGTGTCTAAAGACAATGTTCAATTTAAAAAAATCGAACATTAATTGCACACACAAAAAAATTAAGTATTGAATATAAATAAACATTACGATAAAAGTCTAAACTACATTTTTAAGACACCGGTATTGTAATAAAAAAAATTGTAAATTAAAAAATAGAAAAAGAAAGAACTAAATTAGTGGCATCATTTGTACAGATTTACGGAATAAATGTAACTCATCAATATGAGAAATCAAACAAATACATGAAAGCAACTGTAACCCATTTACATAGAAGCAAATATATTAATGGGTAGAAAAAAATACACTATGCACACAAATATTAGAATAACAAACAATTAAAAGTCCTTCAAATCAGATAGCAAATATGAAAAAACAATTGGTTACAACAAATCCACATTATAGTATTCCATCACTTTCTCTGCCAATCCAATTACCTGTTCAAACAAAAAGAACTCAACACAAATTTTAGCTTATAATCTTATAGAGAGCTCACAATTTTTATGGAGAATTGTTAAAAGAAAGCAGCAGCAATGCAGTATAAAAAACTACCTCCAAAAATTTTCCTCAGTTTTTGAGAGTTTGTGCAAAAAATTGGCAACTTTCACCTTCAATATTCAACATAAAAGTTAGTTCTATTAATGATAAGAGTCTTAATTTATAATACAACACATTTACCTACCACAATGATTTGTTTGATGCTTGAATTTTCGGTCTAATCCTTTAATAAATGTAACACAAATTTATGAGAGAAACCTCAAATGCTTATACTTCTACAAGAAATAACTGAGTAAACAATAAGAATCTCGATAACAATTTTGTCTAGTAATAACCCGTGCTTAAAGACACTTTGTAACTTTAAAAAATCACTTAATTTGTAATAGGTTTTTTTTCATTTGTTTTAATTAAAAAAATTTAAAATTAATATAACTCCTGTTATTTTTTCAAAAAAAATTCACAAAATTTACTCTAAAAATAACAACTCAAGAAAATTTTAACCTTCCTATAGATCTTATATATTTAATTGAATATATTATTGCCCAACACAAATCCATTACATTACCCAATACACACTATTGCATAACCAAACATAAAACCATTATACTTACTAATATCAGCGCACTCCTTATATAGCATAATAATTTGAATCCATCAAATATTAACGTAACGATTATCAATCCACTCATTGAGACATTTCATTGAACACGTATTATGCTAACAAATATCAATCCACTACATAGAAGTTTGGGCCACCAAAATGCCCTTTCAAGCCATATTTATCAAAGTTTTACTCTTGATCATAGATCGAATGTCATACTCATTTTCCACACTCACCAAATGCTAGATAATGCTTATACACAAAACCAAGTGCAGCAAAAATAGCAAGTATTACTACAACGCTAACCATTTAATGCAACAAAGCACATCTAAAGGAACTAAATTTTATCAAAATTAAAATATACCAAGAGAAAGAGATAAAAATTTGAGTAGAAAAGCATCAAACTAGTAGATCAAAACTAAATCAATAAGATATCAACAAAAAATGATCAATGTAAAATACAACTACCGTATAAAGTAGTATTTGCCAAATATTCCAAGCAGCCAAAACTTTTCTAATGTACACATTAGGTATGCACTTTTTAGTATAAAATACATTCCAAAGCAAAATATANTATTCATGAGCTTTATGCATGAGTATGAGTGTGCATGGTTCAATCAAACACCATATTTGGTGGTTGACGGGTGAGCTCGAGAAAGTTAGTTTGAAGATCTGACTGAGTCGCACGGTTGCATACATGAAAAACTTGTGTTGGGTATAACAAGAAGGGATAGATCCCCTCTCTGGTGCAAGACCCGGCTCCTGGTTT